CCTTTTTCCTCTCATTTTAAATAAACATTCACTTTTGTGTTTAATGTTTTAAATATAATTTTATATATTTTTTACAAATGAGTTTCCCACATTGTATACATTTCAGGGTCCACAAAACCTAAATCTGCCCAGTCTAATACTTTATCGGATAAAAATTACATATTTCTTCCTCATTTGGTTTATCACTTTTCCAGCTTTCATTAAACAACAAAAAAAGACAAAACAAAGACAAGATACTATTGATTCAGGTGTACGTATACAGAAACATGTTTCAATGCAGCTCTGGCCTATTAAAATTGGAGGGCAGTTTGATGGTTATGCAAAAGCTCGTTCATGATTCATTGCCTTCCAAAGCTCAAACTTTCACTCTTTTTTAAGCCTAGATCTTTGGAAAAAATAACAGGTCCCAGTAGTCATTGCAATGTTTTGAGACTGCAAGTTGTGATAGTGCTAGTAAAAAAAAAAATACATGTAATATTTTATTTTCCAATTTTGAGGGAACAATTCTACCAGCCTCACATAGTATCTTAGAGTTGCAAAAGCATTTATGAACAGTTGAATTTGGAAAAGGAAGATTTATTCAATTGCTTCATGTAGTTTGAGAACTAAGATAACATGAGCAATTGTTAACTTCAAAATATTCTATTCTGTTTGTATTGTTTTTACATTAAAATTATACTCTCGTATATATACACATATTGACTATGGCTGGCCATTTCTAGGAATTTGGGTATTTTTGTCAAAGGAAAGCAGCCTATTTTAAGATTTTATTTTACATATTTTATTTTTATTTTGAGGGGAATCCAAATATCTACATCATGAACTTAAATTCCTATAGCTGCCAGAACTGACAGAGAATTAGCAAGGCAGAGCCAAGTTCACGCAAGACTGTCTACGGCGCTCTTATAGCTAAAGACAAACCAAAATATTGACTAGTTCTTCTCAAAACAGCATGTATAAGTTGTGGCTGAAATAAGCCTGATGTAAGAAAGAATACAGATGGCAGTATAATCATAGGCTGGGTCTACAAGATGCCAAACAACCCATTCAAAAGTGAAAAACTCAGTCGATCAGTTGGTGGTTTTGTCTACATGCCACCAAGCAACAGGCTTGACTGATTTCTTCACAAAATTGACTGAGCTTTTGACTATACTTGAGCAGATGTTTTATCACTATGTATATTCAGTCTTAGTTGTCAAATCTATAACTCAAGTAAAGTAAGTTCTCCTACAAATGACGAATTCCTTTCCTCCATCAAAACAACCTGAAACTGTTAAACAAAGCTCATTTGCAGTTTTTAATTCATCTTAGAACCTAGTTCAATGCATGTGTTTCATACAGTATAGAGTATTCCAGACAAGAAATAGAATCTCCCAACTTACATGCCTCGCTTTAGTATTTCATTAATTCATTTGGTATCCTGGCTACTCAAATATTCATTGAAAAGTAACTAAAATCCATTTTACTTTCTTTCTTTTTTTTTTTAAGCAACAATTTCCTTGGTATATCCAATCTATTTGCCATCAATGTATCAAATTACTACTAACATTAACAATTGCTTTTGACATTTTGTTCTAATTCTTTTAAAAAAGGTCCTTTTCGGGCCAGGCATGGTAGCTCACGCCTGTAATCCCAGCACTTTGGGAGGTTAAGGCGGGCAGATCACGAGGTCAGGAGATGGAGACCATCCTGGTTAACACAGTGAAACCCTGTCTCTACTAAAAATACAAAAAATTAGCCAGGCATGGTGGCGTGTGCCTGTAGTCCCAGCTACTCAGGAGGTTGAGGCAGGAGAATCAGTTGAACCCGGGAGGCAGAGGTTGCAGTGAGCCGAGATTGTGCCACTGCACTCTAGCCTGGGTGACAGAACAAGACTCCATCTCAAACAAACAAACAAACAAAACAAAACAAAACAAAACTTTTCTCTAAAAGATAAGTCACAAAATCTTTCAAATATGTCATAATTAAAAATGAAAGCAATCAAAAAAGATACTGTTTTAAAACAAGTTCTTTGTGAACAGAGATCTCATGCCTTTGGCCTGTATTGTGTCCTCATCACCTGATATGGTGTGGGCCTCGACAAATGTTTTTTTAAATGAATGATTACATGGATTGTAGTATACTATTGTCCTAGCCACTGAAAAACTGTGGCCTATGAAGAAGTGACTAGGGGAGTAAATATTCCAACTCACTCCCCTCCTGTCCTACAAATGTACTGCTCATGCTTCTGTTGCCTAAACCCAACTGGAAACCAGAAGGCAAGGGAACGTGTTAAGAGCTCATAGGAAGGTGGAGAGGGGTGGCAAGTGGTTCTGAAGCTGAAAACAGTATCCACTATCTGCATACTGTCGTCCATGCAATCACTGGAGACAAGAAGCTAGATGTACATGATGATTCTTATGATTTTCACAAACACACTAATTACAGACATACATATATACACATGTATATTTATGTATATAATTGACACATGTTAGATAGATAGATCAAAATGCTCTCAAAACCTAAACACAGTTGATTTCTTCCCAAATCCCTTGAAAATGTTCTGCCGGATAATCTGTAAATTTTTTTCCAACTATATTATTCTTTGATATGGATTAATGTGAATGCCTTGAAACACCATTTACCTTTAAAAGAAACCGAAAACTTCTATTTAATTTAAAAAAACAAAATATGTTTTTTAAGAAGCTAGAAAATATAAAAAAGGGTAGATGAGAAGCATACTCATTCATACGCAATGCTTCTAGGAGCCAATAGATGTATTTTTTCTTAGTTCACAAGGCAGTCGTCGGGAAAGAAGATGGTTTTCTGGGTCTGTCTCTAATCACTTCCCTTCTTTCTGATTTATGTCCATCTTCCATTCACCATTCTTTATATGCTGTCAGTTTTCTTCTTTTCAAGCACAAAGAACAGGCAAGAGCCTGAATGGGGAACAAGCAAAGGACTCCACTCTGCGAAACTGACTCCGAAAATGTTTACTGCATCGGCATTAATATCTTCCAAAGAAAAGAGCACCTGCCCATCTTTTGAGACCACAGCAGCAATTGCCTTTATTCAAAGTTACCTGTAACATGCTCTAGGGGACGATCTCTACACGCTTAATACACAGGTGTTTTTGCAATTTTAACAGTGGTCTGATAGGGGAAATGCAACTTTTATCGTTATAAATTTCTAGATTACATTATGTTTTCAGCTAAGCAGTAGATGGAGTCTGACTTAACCCAAGGACCTCTTCCCAGTTTGTGGGGATGTCTTTTTTTTGTTGTTTTTTAAACCTTCACTATAAAACCAGAAAAAGGAAAACTTTCTTAACTTACTCAAAGTATGTGCAAACTACTTCTTCAAAGCTCTGAATTTCCTGAGCCTGACTTTTAAATAAAACTCAGCAAAACAGGAGAAATTGAAAGGATCAGGGAAAGAAAAATCATAAAGCATTTATTTTCAGGTTGAATAAGAAATTCTGTTTTGTTAAACAGAAGCAAAGTTTCCGTAGCCATTCCCCACCACCCACACCCATAGCCCTTTCTTCTGAAGCATGAATGTTTGCTCTAACTATTAAAGAAGACAGATGCAAACCCTGTCTCCGTAAGAGCTAAATTTTTTATACATTATGTTAATAATAAGCACAAGCTGCAACTATAGAGAAACCTCTTACAAATTTCCTGAAATCACTCATCTAAATACTATGCTGTAGCTAAAACTATGCTATATTAAAGATCTTGAGGAAGAAAATGTTAGGTACCATTACAAGTATCTTATTTGTCTAATTTGTTAAAACACATCAATTTTTAAAAAGAAGCTTTTAAAGCAGTGATCCTACAATATATCTCCTTTGCTCAGTGTGATGAGAAGCCAACGGAGTTGTTTTAAAATCAAACGGGGGTAATTCTTTCTTTTACTTTTCCCAGGACTTTTACCCCACTCAAATAAATTGTCATTAGATGCAGAATGTTTGTATTGATTAATTCAGGATGCCAACTACTATATGATTCACAGAAGGCAGAAGAAATGCCAGCGCTTTCATAACACAAAATGACACATGTTTGAGAATACTATGGTTCCCTCACAACAGCTAGGAAATGTTTTCAGAGAAAAAAAAAAAACAAAAAAAACCTTTACACCTGAAGTCAAGCAAATGGACAACTTAAGAGAGCGGTCATGGACTCATTCATAGCTCTTCTTCTGTTAACATTAGGTTCGAATTTATTTAGTAATTCTTTACTATTGGAGGAACTTGGTGAAGATTTTGTTTCAACCAAGAATAAACTGAAGTACAAATGATTTAAAGTCTTGTCAAAAAAATAAAAACATCTCTCCTAGTTGTATCACGTATCATGAATATTTTGGCTATGTTGGGATACACAAACACACGGAGAATTGAAGTAAGTTGTCTTGAAAGTCAAGAAAATAAAAAGCAAAATGTTTTAACATTTATTATCAGAATGTAGATGCTTTGTTTGATTTTGCTGGAACATTTGTTTTGCATTTTATTGGGCTCCTTTATTTGGATAATTGCCTTAGTTCATCACTTTACATGCCCAGACAGACAATTAGTTAATAAGTTTATGTTAAGCACCTACTCTGTGTCAGATTTGGAATTATGAGTAAGGATCCCATTTAACTTCAAGATTTGCAAAGGTGTTAACCAATGACATTTCAACAGAAAGAGAGCAAGCATTACTAAAATGATTGGACAGCTATAGCACTTACCAGGTTTTTTAAACTTTAAAAATAAAGCTCTTATCTCCTAGTGCAAACATTCTCATTCCAAACACAAATGTATTGAAGAGGGTGGGTGAACAGGTGAGGTTGTGTCCACATGGAAACTGTGAACTATTTAAAACTGCAGGCATACTCCTGGAGAGCTGCTTTGTCCTGAGGTGTCCACAGACTTCCAATGTAGACTCCCTGAGGAGTCTGTGAGGAGAGGATGCCTTATTGTTATCTCTCCATTGGGTAGTCTAACGTGGCACAAAGAGTATCATCAGGTTCTTCCTTACCTTCTGAGACCTTGGGGAACCCTGTTTGCTTCTTTCTTGGCCTCCAAGAGGAGTCAGCATCAAGGGAAGAAACCGGAAAGATATAGCAGAATATGACTGTTTCAGGAGAGACGCATGCTTGGCCCAGGATATTATTCAATTAGCCTTCCTCCAGGTAAGAGAAATGCTGTATGATAAAGAGCAAAGGATCATCAACCTCTGGTCTTGAATGATAGGAATCACATCACATGAACAGAAATTGTCTTTAAACCTTAAACTTTCTCCAACACTAGCCTATGTTTTCCTCGATTTTTACTACTTTGGAGATCATCTGTACTGAAGTATAATAAAAAGGCAATTCAGTAGAACTACTAATTTAAAAGGGGGAAAAAAGCAAAAGCAAAAAAAAAAAAAAAAAAAAAAAAAAAAAAAAAATTTTTTACTACTTTAGATCATCTTGTACTTAAAGTGTAATATACAATTGGCAGAACAATAATTGGGTATAGAAAAGCAAAAAAAAAAAAAGAGCTTTAGAGGGACAGCTAACAGGTCAATGAGTATCATTATTGTCCTCATTACCATAAAAAGATATCTTGCACATTTGGTCTCAGTTTCCAATAACATTACAGAGAGCTTATTTTCACCAAACTGACTTGACAGGAAAAAAAAAAAAAAAAAAAAAAAAAAAAAAAAAAAAAAAAAAAAAACAGGCCTTGAGAGGGGACACAGCTTGGCATCAGGTCACTGAGTGTATTCATTATTTGTCCCCATTACCATGTTATGTCTTAATTACTCTGGTCTGGCTTCCTAGCTGGGGTCACTATGTTACAGCTGGTTTTCTGCCCAACCCTAATTAATAAAGCCTCATTTAGTATCCAAGTTTATTGTAATAAACCTCTGCTGAGAGATATAGCAGAAATAAAGGGGGAAAAAAAACTCTAGAAATTATCAGAGTTGTTCTAACGCTAACCTGGCACCATAAAAGGTCTTAGTTCAGGCCTTCTCTAGGTTACCTTTAACCTGGAAAGGACTTCCATTTGATTTCCTTTGAAATTTCTGGCATAATTAAGTACAGTGGTTAGATTCCACCCCAAGGAAGAGAACGGACACTCTTCCTTCTCTCCTGGATACATCATTTGGAATTTTTTAAACGGATTATTCATTCATACTTTTTGCATTCAAATCGATATTATTTTGTGAAACAAAAACAATGCTTTCAAATGCAATATAAAGAATATACAATCATCAGTTTTCTTTTTCCTGTGGCACTAATTCTCTGAGTTTTCTGACACATCAAATAAAGACAAATCATATACTAGCCTTTTCTAATTTATTACATGTAATCTCAGCCAATAAAATTTTGCAAATTAAAAAAACCCACCATCAAAAAATCTCAGCACTATTATGTATGTCTCTGTCTCTGTCACTCTTTCTCTCTCTCTCACACACACACAGACATACACACATGAAACCAATTCTATTTATTAGAATTCACGCAGCTCCTGAACAGATAGCTCATCTGCATTTTATCAGGTGTCTCTATAATTAAAGCTTATTGTAAAGTGCGATATTATTGGTATATTTTATTACTTGTCTATGAGAAGCTGAATAAAGTAAGAGGCATAAATGAATTCAGTTTTACAGTACTTTGTTTTAAACAAATGTCACTACCTACACACACATACCTAATTATCAGTTCTTACACATTCTGCCAAATATCAAACCTATAGTTCATAAGCCACACACACGACAGGCGGTAAATATATTCCCCCTAATTTAAAATTTTATTGCAGAATACCCTCTGCACTATGTTAACCTACACTAAATCACACCCTACACTCTCAGCTTTACTGGTGTTTACCTACTTCTGATTCAAAAGGAAAACAGTCCTAACTCCTGTTTCTACATATCTATAGTAATAAAAATTTTTAAAAGAGAATGACTATATGTAAGAAAGGAATTCAAGACAATGGCATAAAAGGGTTGACTTTAACCGTAACAGCGAATAACAGATTAATCCAAGACACTGTTTTTTGGTGTGGTTTCTGAAGGTTCTGTGTTCTGAATGTCAGGGTTTCTCTGCATATTTTTGTACATTTCAAAGGCTTCCGCAGCAGCCACGCAAAAATTAACATAAAGATGAAGGCTCTCGCAGATGACTGGGCAGTTGGTTTGAATGCACGTAGGCTATGATTGTACTATATACAATTTTTCTATTCAAGCACATGTAAGCGAAGGCCAGCACATCCTTTTTGCAATGGGGAAATTCACTCAGGGGAGAACTCATAAGAGGAGAGGTCGCTAGTGTGGCCTCATTCTCCCATCTACAGGCAACTGTTTTGCCATCAACCTAAAGGAACAACTTCTCAGAGCTCAGTCTCAGCACAGGCTCAGTTCCACTTAACCCACGATTCTTCACAGGTGCTTTGTTGTCTTCCAGCAGATATCATTTATTATCATGGCAGACAATGGGATGTGGTGAAGATGGACACGACGGTCATGTCCCATTTGCCAGTGTGAATTATCCTCCGATCCTGTCCTCTAGTCGTCGTGGGTTCTGAGTGCCCCATTTTGAAAAAGAGTCTGAAGCCATTAGAACAAAAAGCACTGGAAGGGCTTGGGCTGCTAAAGGCTACATCTGGGCTCAGCAACATGCATACTAATAACATCATTACGGCCGAGTGGTTTGGAGAGCGTGTTTACTTTGTTGTGGTTGCTGTCACCTTCTACAGCTGAATTGTTAATATGTGGTTTTAAATTCAAATAGCACACAGGGCTAATTTTCTTGTATTTGCCCAAAAAATTAGGTTACATAGTTCATCTAATTCTCCCTCCACTTTTTCATGTGTGGGTGGTACTCCTTGTAGAGAGTACTTCTTTTCCATGACATTGAACTTGAACCTGACTGACCTTTCTATAATGAGTGAATTGAAAACATCTCCCTTTGGAATGTGGCTTGTAGATACTGGCTACGCCAGTTTTTCTGCATTTGATGAATTAAAGGGGCAGAGTCCTTTTCACAGACCTAGACCATAGGAGTTATTTAACAGGACAAAAAAGAATAAAAGAGAGAGAGAGAAAGGAAGGAAGAAAAGAAGCAAGGAACGAAGGAAAGGGGGAGGAAGGGAGAAAGGAAGAGAGAGAAAGAAGAAAAAAAGCTTTTAAAAGCTTATTACAGAGGCACTTCGCTTACTTAGAAACCTACCATTAATTTTAACAAAAAGTGATTAGGCAAAGGTTTGGGTTCTCTTGGGTGTGTTGGTCTTCTGTGGGTGGTAGTGTTAACCTTTTTTTCCTCCCCACCACCATTTAAATATTTAAGAAAGAGCCTGCCACTTTAAAGTTCCGCGTATTTCTAACAAATACTTAACAAAGATTCGGATATTTGTCTCCTTCAACTCAGATATTACGTCCCTCCTCCTCATTGTTCTTTCTCAAATCAATCCTCCCCCACCTAAAATCAAAGTTAAATTGAGAGGCACTTGGAATCAGAGCTACTGAATAATCAGTTAGCAGATTTCTTCTCTTATGCTTTCATAGCCCACGGATTCATGCTTCTTCATTTTTTTAAGGGGGAAAAATACAGAATTGATGGAAGACAGCTGAAAACAGTCAGCAGCGGAAAGTCCAGCACTACCAACATCTGATCTTAATCATAATATATCCTCTGTCTGGTTTGTCAAAATCTATCACTCAAGAACACCTTCAATGGACAGTAATTTGAGGTGTGGCTTATTAGATCACACGATCTTATGAATAATAAAAAGTTATGGAAAATTGCATCCAGGCCTGCTATCCAATTTTCAGTAGTGTCACCCACTTTATAGTAAGGCAGCATGTTTATGCATGATTTCTGTTTCATATGTATTGACTAGATCATTTTCTCTGTTGTCCTGAGAATTGATGACACACACTGTATTAAGAATGATGACCTCCACAAGGGGGATAACACTTCCTCTAGATTACACTATTGTCAAAACATATTGAAATTTTCTTTACACATGTTACTGCTGTATTTTTCTGCCTGAAAGACCCTGTTAAAGTGAAATCTTGTATTTTTTTTTGCTAAATAAGATCCGAGGGACAGGTGTTGAATTTTTCTTCTCTCCTAATACTTTTGTGGAATGACCAATGAAAAATAATAACATCATCCTTCAAAACAATCCCTGTCAGGACTGTGTCAACCCTTCAGGGCAATTTTGATAACCTTCTTGGAGGAATTTGCAAGATACAACTTCCTTTTGCGTGCTTAAGGATATCACTGTGTAGGAGCCAAGGAACTCCATTATGTATGGATTCTAATATTCTGATAGATAATAGGCAGCTGAAGGAAATCCAAATAGTGAAAAGCTTCGATGAAGATTGTTTTCTCTGCCACTTTCCCTGACGGAGTCTCACTGAGGGTGACATTATTCTTCACTGCACCCCCCAGCACACGTACACCTCCTTTTTAGGAATCTACACAGAGCTCAACTTGCAGTGATGTAACACCACTGCTGATACCATGGGTATGTGAAAATAGTGTGCAATATTACTTTCTCCCTTGCACTGGATGAAAATGCAAATCCACCTTCTGTGAGAGAGTGACCCCTTTGTGGCCAGTGACACTGCACAGCACACGTTGAAATGTCTTTGGACAGGAAAAAAAAAAAAAAAGCAAGACAATTATGGGGCCAAAATAAAACCAGGTTATTGATCCTAGAAAAGTGTCCATATTATTTTTGAAAATACCAAAGATAGGCGGGAAAAAAAAAGTATTATAAAATTACGGGATCATTTTGAAACAAAGTTGTAAATAAACATTAGATGAAACCTCCCATGTTTAAGTGTATTCTCATTCCTTCTCTGGTCATCTTTCCAAAGACTCTTGATATATAGTTGTCCCATGATAGTGGATGATGCAACATAAAGATGAAAGACTGATTGGAAATCCACATCTGAAGTATATGTGTTGTGCAGAAAAAAAAAGTAGCATATCAAAGACTAACTGTCAAGAGGCATTAAGAATAGAAAAGAGAGATGTGTGAGAGGGAATTTTACGTTTTAATTTAATTTAATTTAATTTACGTGACTTTTGTATTGTAGCCCATTGAACTGACAGGAAATGAAGACAGTGCCTATCTGACTTGAGATATGTGAGGCTTGTAATTGAAATTAATTATATGTTCTTTACATTTTCCATTTCCCTTTTAAAGTTGGACAGGTGGGAATGCTTTAGCTCTTAGGTTACAGAGTCGAGTTCGAGCTCTGTAAATCCTTTACAGTCAACCCTCAGGCTTCCAGAGACCGCCTCCACCCCCAACCCCCCCAGCCAGTTCTGGTCTGAAACATTCCTTCCCGACCTCACCCTGCTTAAAATCAACTGGCCCCATCCCCCAGGTCAGGCTGGCTGGCTGCCCATCCACACATTTACGTCTGCCTTTTGAGTGTTTTCAGAAGACCATTAAATTGTGCCTTGGCAGGCCAGACACCTTCACCTTGCTCTGAGACCCAGGGAGAGGGGGTTATCAAATTCCCTCATCAGACAGTCCAAGCTTGAATTCTTGAGCCTGCAAAGAAGCTATGCAGTTGCACAAAGTAAGATGTTAGGACTTGTAAACATGTCATACAATATTATAATATGCCTGTGGGCACGGTTAAGTACAAAGGTTGGGCGGGCCTGGAGATACAAAGGCTGGCCTTTCTATGGAGCTGTCTTAACTTACATTATTTTTTAGAGACAGCACAATGAGTATTAACTTGCACAAAGAAGCTAACTCCCATTCTTAAACTAGCTGGCCCTACAGCGCTCTTCAAGAGGGCTGAAATTTCAATGGCTATAAAGTGGAAAAAAAAAAAAAAAAAAAAAAAAAGCACAATACCCTTATCTGATGCTGCATAGTGATGGAAGGCTTTGTTCCCACCAAAAAGGGTTCTCATCCCCGCCCTGGTTCTAAGACTTTGACACCCTGAGTCCATTCAAAAACCAAGATAATTTGGGAAAAGAAGCAAAAGTTCTGTTTGTTGTTGGCCTAGCCTCCAAATCTTTGGGCAAATTGAAATAGACCTGGCTAGTCCTTTTTCTACCAAAGAGGACCTAATTTTCTTTCTAAATATTATTTTTGTAAGTATTGGAGAGTCCTGTGATTCTAGACAATTATGTCTAACCCCTGCCTATTGCTTAAGGCAGAATTAAGATGGAGTTGTGCATTGAGTAATAAGATCCACTTGCATCAACCTTATTTCTTGTCTTAGAGATGAGATAGAAATTGATGAATTGGAGGAGGTAGTGTAGTGTTTCCTTCCCCACTCCCTCAATCCCACCTTCCTTTCTTTTCTCACTCTCTTCCTTCCTCCCCACCTTACTGACTTCCTTCCTCCCTGCCTTACTGACTTCTTTCCTTCCTTCCTGATCTTCCTTCCTTCCTTCCTTCGTTCCTTCTTTCCTTCCTTCCTTCCTTTCTTCCTTCCTTCCCTCTTTCCTTTAGCACAGTACCATTTACCTTCTACGAGAAATCTGATGGAAATTAATCTACAACATGGTTCCAGACCGGAAGTACAGCTGTGCAGCAGAAAGGGGGCAATGGGAGAGGTGATATTTTATAACACAAAACAGGCAGGACTACTCTGGACAGAAGATAATGCAAACTAGCTTTGCTGGAAATGAGCTGCAAAATACCTTCATTTTCTACTACAGTGAAACCCTGATAAAATCACAACTGTTAAGGTCATACAGTATATCAGGTGGAATCACAGTCTTTAGAACTCCATTATTAATGCAGACAACCTCACAATCAAAGAGGATGAGAGCACAGTTTCCAGATGCCAATGATTTGATCATATCTTATTTGGCTGTTTACATTTAAATAATGTGACTGTATAAATTTAAATAATATGAACCACCAACAGATAGATCCCAGTGAAAAACTGCCCCTTCTCTGAAACCCTGAATGTACACTATACAGTGCCTTACAATCTATTTGAGCAGAGCTCATATTTTTAAAAATGGGGAGGGGATAAAAAGAGAGAGACTCATTTCTTCTGCCATTATGGAAATAAAAGGACTACCGCTTTAGTTCGTGGCTGGCTGTGCCAAGGAAACATGCAGTTCTCTAACCTCCGGTACAATGTACCCATAAGGTACCAAGTATCAAAGCATATTAAAAGATATTAACTGCATATTTGCTTATGAACAAGATAAAAAGCTGTAGGGCCTCCAGGTTCTCAAGCTGTGAGTGGAACAGCTTTGCAATTTGCCTGCAAAACTGCATTTTGATCTTAATGAATATAAAATGGCTGCCATTAAAAGTAAAACAGATTATTTCGGGTCTTCCAGGGCCCATAGCTCTTTGCTGGCCTTGGAGGGCCACTATGATCTTTCATTAAAATCTCACAGCAGGGCTCCCTCACCAGCAAATCAAGCCTTGCAGTCTAGGAGATTGGCTACATTTAAAAGTAATTTTCAGAAATCTACACAGATTTTCAATTTGGTAATGAAAGCCATAAGAGAATGCAGGCGGCATTTTGTCGAATATTGTTACTGATCCAGCACTCACATTCGTTAGAAATTAAACTGCCCCGTAACTATCACACTGATGGCAGCCTGCCATTTCGGCTGCGTTCTAATCTCCGTTTGTTAATGAGTAGCATGTGCTAATTGTTGTCATCCTTACTGCCGAGCAGTCCTTCCCTAACAAACATATTTTACCTGCTCAGAGGTGGAACCTTACGCTTTGTCACGGAGCAGGTTGGAGTGGAGTGTAGAGATTGCAGTTGTTTTGCAAAGGGAGACAGCCCAGTATTGTGAGACAAGGCAAGAGAGAATACGATCTGAAATTGGGTGCGTTTATATTATTTGAATCCGTCAGTTTGTTTTTCACTCAAGCCTAAGTTTTCTAAAGTCCTGGAGTCGGCAAAATGTTAATACTTTCGTGTTCCTCCCAAGAGCAGTTTGAACAAACCCACAAAATCTGAGCACAACGAAGGCGAAATCAATTGGAACTAAAATGAGGGAGAGGCTTCATGTAAGAAGGGATAACATACCAAGGACCTCACCTACTAGCCAGTCAGGGAGGCGAGCACCCCTCAAACCTGATGTGGACGTGGGACTGCTACTGGCTTTCAAAAGAAAGTTTGATTCTTTAACTCCATCATTTAGGTCCTAAAGGCTGGGAGGTGGAGGCCATTGCGTTACTCTCAAGTGGATAGTCCTAAGGGAATAATCATACGGACCCATGATAATGTGGTTCCAAGGAGAGCTTTTGCTAAGAAATCCAGCATCCTGACGTGTGCTGCAGGCAGACATTTGAAAAAAGAAAAGCATATGAAATAATTATGAATAAAACATTATCAAATAGAAGAAAATGTACATGAATGCGTTCTAAGACCAAATGGTATTTTTGTTTTTGTTTTTGCCTTTGCATGTCCTCTTACTTGATATAAGAACTGAGGAAAGTTATTTTTCTGAGATCCGAGAAACAAAAATGTCAGATTATGCTTCCCTATTGGAAAATGCATTCAATAAATTTTCTTTACTTGGCAATTCTCTTTACCTGGCACCTTTAGGGCAAAGCACTTCCCTGCACTAAAATGTGACGGGCAACAAGAACTGCTCTCTACGTTCTCTCTGACTGGATATAAATTCTTCCTGCAGATACAGAAAGAGTCTCCATTTAAAATAACAATTCTCCCTGGCAGAGCACTGGCAGCTACGAGAGCGCATCTATGCAAAAGATGTGTTTATTTTCAGAGGGCCAGAGAAGGCTTCCTGTGGTTCATGTAAGCGTGTCTTTTAGCTTCTCCAAGCATATGAGCAGTTCCTAGGTGCTCCTGGGCTACGTTCCTTTGGTTTCCACAAAGTACAATTTTAACTGGACTGCATGTCTGTGATTTTCGGGGAATGACACAGGAGCGCCTGAAAAGGTGCCACTGCTAATGTGTTTCAGTTTTTGAGGTGAAAACTCAGGCCAATTCCTTGTCTCTGTGGCCTCAGGAAACCAAAGGGAAATAGATAACAAACAACTTAGTAAGCAGTTTTGAATCTATTCCACATGTAGTTGCTATTCTAATTGCGGGAAACATTTTTAAATGCCCAAAGTGACATTATAGGAAATTCTGCTGAATCCTCCTGAATTCAGAAAGTTGAGACTTCTTTTATTTCACCTGTCGCCAGTTGTTCTAATATTCCTCTAAGAGCTTCCAGGTACATTTTGACAACTGTATATTGTAATGTCTCTTGTATCATTATTTTGCCATGTGCTAAATTGTGGGCAGAGGGAGGGTACATTACCAGTTTTGACTCTCAAGTATTAGAATATAACAGCTATTAATATCCCTCTAATTACTAGAGTGGGGGAAAAACTGCACTTTAGGTAATATAAGTTAATATAATTAGTCTTCAGATAATCAAGTTAAATTTTACTAGTGATACAAAGTATAATTTTTATTTGTTTCGTTTCAGAGAGATGCTTCTATGGAAACAGATATCATCTTTGCCTTATCACTTTTACTTTAGCAATTCTGTTGGGAAATATACATATGCATATACACACAGACTTACATATATATATATTACATGGAGAATTTTATTTTAACACAAATTCCCATTAAAGAACATTTGGCCAGGCTTTGTGGGTCATGCCTGTAATCCCAGCACTTCGGGAGGCTGAGGCAGGTGGATCACCTGAGGTCGGGAGTCTGAGACCAGCCTGGCCAACACGGCTTCAAGGCCTACATAAAATTTGCTTTTAAAAAAACTTTTAAAATATTATAGTCTCTGTTTTTATGAAGTAACCTTTTTATTTATCTGGTTTGATAATAAAACATACTAATTGAACACTAGGTATCATACGCTTGAAATATAGCATTCTAATATTTATCTTTTACTATTTATTAATACTTAGTGAATCTTGTACAGTCAGCCCCCAAGGGACAAATTTATTTAATTCCAAAAGTTAACTTGTAAATGTCTTTCAAATTTGTAATGATTTTTTCCACAGAAACAAGACTTTAATAGTAGTTTGGTTCCAAGTCTAGCCCATAGAAATCAAGTCTGTCATCATGTAGCTGAGGTAAAATCCACACTGCTTTGGCTGTCCTTTCGTCCCAAGAAATGGAAAACAATGACATACGAGGCGAGTAAAAAGTGAGACGAGTGGATAAGGAACTCACAGAAGGAAGATGTGAGGAGAAGCATCATTTCCTTTTCTCCTGTTCAGAGCTTGAGTTGTCCCTCCTCTGTGGGTAAAGAACCCAAGACCCAGGCCTCGACCCAGAAACCTTTGGTCCCCAGTACCCCCAAACTCTATAGCTCCCTGGTCCAAGTCTACACAAATCCACAAAGTTTTTAGTACTCCAATCAACCACTTCTCATTCATCTTCCCAGCCCTCTAATCAGATTCCAATTGATTTAACTAGATGTTAGGAGGATGAGCAGTAAAGAAAAATGAGAGGCAATGAAAACGTCACCTTTCCAGGTAGGCCCTTCTTTGGTTTTAAACAAGGCAGTTCAGTAATTCAGTGCATGGTCTGTACAACATGCATATCTAACCCATACAGAACACTGGTTAGTGGCAGCATTACTAGGGACCGACCGTCATCACCACCACCACACACAATCCTGCAACAGGAGTCTACCTATAACAAGGAACAGGAAATCCCTTATAAGGGGACCTGAGACGGGAACAATATATGTTGATGTCTGGGAGTTAGGACCACAGAAGATATTGCTGAATTTTCTGTGACATTTGTCCGGCTGCCTGAGACCCTCAACACTGTGTATGCTGCACATGCAGGAGAGCCTTCTATATTGAGCAGAAGGTAAATACACTTGCTGAGTGTCATTCTATGGTTTCAGCTTATTAGGAAGGATGAAAGACTCGAAATGACAATAAAAAAAATAGAACCCAACAAGAAATCTAGAAGAAAAAAATGTTGCTGCAGAACCAGAGAAAATTTGAATCCGATATCAAGAAGGTTAAAAGACATTTTAGACTGGTGGGGTAATGTACTCTATATCATCTACTTCCATGGATGATGACTAGTGAATTCCTATAAGGGTATTGACAACCTCCCTCTCATTCCATACAGGAGAAAAAGGATTTTCAGGATAGTCACATTGGAACAGTTTTATCATCTTTTCCAAGAGGCAGAGGAGAGAGGGTATAGTTGGCTCCCTGCCAAGGCATTCATGAGTTCATATTTCGATGTTATGAGACTAAAGGGAATGAACGGTTTTCCTGGGATAAAATGTGTGGAAAGATTCCACTGTCTTCTGTGATTATATGTGATAATCAATGCTGTCTTTAGGAGATACAGTCACTGTCCCTCTAGAGGGATGAAGACAAAGAAGGAAGCTGAAGGGCACAAGCATACAGGTGGTAGAAGTATGATATCTGCTGCCAGTTTTAGCCGATAACACAAGGAGGCTTTGGGAAATATGTAGGTGGTACAAAAGAGAATCTGCTTTTCCACAACATGGTTCTTGATAGTAGAAAGAGCGTCTTCTGCAAAGGGAGAAGTGGCTCTTTGAAGACTGGCAGCAATGCACAGGGCCAAAAATACCAAGGCCAAGCAAACTTAAATTTCAAGCCAAAAAGGCGCAAAATCTAAATAATGCTTTTGAATTCAGTATTAGACTATATCACTAGGTATTACTTGAAGAATATTAAATTGTAAATAAGTTAGCCAGGATTTTGCAGAAGAAAACACAAGAAAGATGGGCAGGAAAGGACCAATGTGTTTGTCCCGTATGTTCATATATAACAATTATCAGAGTGAGAATAATACAATGGGCCGGGCACGGTGGCTCACGTCTGTAATCCCGCCACTTTGGGAGGCTGAGGCAGGTGGATCACTTGAGGTCAGGAGTTTGAGAACAGCCTGATCAACAGGGAGAAACCCCGACTCTACTAAAAATACAAAATAAGGCAGGTGTGGTGGGGCATGCCTGTAATCCCAGCTACTTGGGAGGCTAAGGCAGGAGAATCACTTGAATCCGGGAAGCGGAGGTTGTGGTGAGCCAAGATCACGCCATTGCACTCCAGCCCGGGCAACAAGAGTGAAACTCCATCTCAAAAAAAAAAAAAAAAAGAATAATACAGTGAATGTGTAACTTTAATACAAAAAGCTAAATATGATCCTTGACTTATATAGAGTCTTTGTCAGGTGTGGGCCTCTTCCCTGGTAGTCCTTCCCAAAACATATGTGATCCTTCCTAGTTTCCTTATTTCCAATCTGTTATAGACCAGGACTTTGGTACAATGCAAGAAGACTAAATTTTAAAAAGATTATAAAAGATACACAGTATTGAATCCTCAGTTTATAAAAGATTATAAAAAGATATACAAATTGAATCCTCAGTTTTTATTGTTAGATTTAACATACAGATAATTATTTTTGTTAATTGCTTTAAAAGTTCCTACATTTTCGCTCTCCATTTCTGCACTTATATTTCTGCAAACCAATCATAAAGTGCTCACAGACATACACTGCTCTATGAGTAACATTTTAGGTGGCCCCAAAGGAGTTTATCACAGGGATGTGGCTTTAGTACTCTATATCCAGGAAGAATGGATATGAACGGCCCCAATGAGGGCATATGCTAGAATACATGTACGTTAGGTTAAAAGGAGAATAAAGCTAAAGTGGTACTGTTTCAGAAAAGGAATGACTACCCTCCCTAGGCCTTCCTAATGCAAATTACAAAAGTAGTACAGAGGCAAGTTAAATGATTGAGAGGAAACTTTTCTCCTAAACATCTGCCAGAAGTCTCTTTCAAATGAAGACCCTCTGATAAGTTCTTGACCTACCTTCTGCCACTTGCATTCCTTTAGAAGGTTGAGAGATCAATTTGGAGAATTTTTACATGAATTTAATTTTGAATGAGGAGTGAGATTTGGTTAGTGAATTAAAAGTGATGAGCAACTCGGAAGGAAATGGCATGTCATCTTAGAGCTTGTTATTTTCACAGGAAACTAAATCTGGACAGAGGCAGTTATCCTAGAGTTTAGGAAAACAGTCATCAAAATAGAGAAAATGGAGAGATGATTTCATGACTAAATAATTTTAAAAGGAAAATAAGACTATTTTTAAAATTCAGACAAAATAATCACAGATTATGCCAAAAAGATATAACATGAAAGGGACATTCTTTTCCTCTTTTTAAAGCTATTGAATGCAGAATATAAAAGAACATATATCCAAAATGGAAGGGTGAAAACATGATGGGTAACGAATATAAAAAGTGCCGTAAGAATATTGTCAGGAGGGTTAAAGCTTGACTTTAGGCTGAAAAACTGCCAAGGACAACAGAAAGCTATTTTAAGCTCTGTTTGTGAAGAAGAACAAAGGGATAGGTACATTGATTGGGGCACACAGCAAAATGTTAACAGATGTCACAGAGAAAACAGAACTATTCAACTCCTATTTTGATTCTATGGTCTCTATCAGGAAGAATGATCTTCAAACCCGAGAGGGCAAAGCAAACAGAGTTAAGAATGAACTGAGGCCCAAGATAAGTCAAGACATACTAAAGTATAACCTAGTTGCTTCAGATGAGTTCAAGGCTCCAGGCCAGACAAATTATCTCTCAGGTTACTGAAAGAACTGAAAAAATGGTCCAGATGGGATTGTGGAAACCCTCCCAGTAATTTTTTAGAATCACAGTCTAATTATGATTGATCAGGGATTAGTGTGGGCTATAGAAAAAAAGCTTTCGATTTTTCAAAATCAAACAACTATCCAGAACATATCCCTAGCAAAATTCTGGACGGATTTTCACAAGCATGGGTTGTCTGTGCTAAGAGAAAGAAGTGGCAATCACCTTAAGTGAGCAAAGGTCTACTCAGGATTACACCAATTTCTCTCTCCTCCCCATCTCTCCCAACCTCACTCCCTTTCTTCATTTCTTTCTCTTTTTTTTTCTTTTGCTCCCTTTCTGTTTTATAGAATGACTAGCCAAATAGTTGGGAGAATGGCTGTCAGTTTCATCAAGATATTTAATATATTATTGCATAACACATTGGTGGTGGACCAAAAAAAAAAGAGGGGGCTTACGTAATTAGGGTGACTCAAACTTGGTTAAATAAATGTTCCCAAAGAACACTTGTTAATTAATCGGGGGCAATCTGGAGAGTTCGCTAGTGTTTTGTGCCCTTTCAACTTTATTTTACTCCTTTGTTCTTTTCTTTGCTCTTTCTCTTTTTGTACATAGCTTTACTCTGGGACTTGCATATTTCAAGAGAGTATATGCTCTAGTGTTTGTCTCAGTCAGACTCCACAAATAAGTATGTGGTGCCCACTCTGTATGAATCAGATGGGCCCTGGCAATGAGGGCTTGGGAGGAGTCAGGTCATAGCAAAACTTAACGCCAAATGGAGAAGTAACAGCAGACACACATTCTCTCTCTCTTTCTCTCATACACACACACGGTGTAGACATTTTATGAAGAATATGTATTATTAAAAATTATTAATAACAAAATATGAAGTTCTAGTGCTTCAAGTTCCCTTGCTACTTAATTTTTCATATGTATTATTACCTGACTTATTTCTAACTTTCAACGTTCTCTTTCTCTCTACTTTAATTTTTCCTCTACACATTCAACAGATGTGCTTCATTTTATGGATGAAATGAATTTCTGTAAAGTCGTGTGATCTTTTTCTCAGTAAATGAAATATTACATTAAAGATACTAGGAAAGTTTCCTTTTAAAGGAACCTTATGCCAAATTGCTGTGTAAAGCAAATAATGACCCTATAACCAATCTCTCTCTAAATCTAGATTTCCATATATCAGGTCTGACTTAAAAAAAGATACATCTGTACTTTATTTTTACATCCGTCTGCTAGCTGTACTGTAACATAATAGTATGCCAATTTGAAATACCATAATTTTTACACTTTTTCAGTTCTCACAATGCAATCTTACAAAATGTATTATTTTCCATATCATACTCATTGCTTTCTTTTCCTTAGTAGAACTTTAGACTTGTTTTTTTCCGTGCTGAGGTTGCAGAGGTTGGCAGAAAGCTACACAGTCACAGGCATCCTATATAGAGCAATTGTAATGTGCTGTGTCTGGTGTGAAGTACTTTATATGCATTCTTGCATTTAATTTTTAAAACAGACTTCTGAGATATGAACAATTATCTTGACCATTTTACACATTAGAAAACTGAGGCTCAGAGAAGTTGAACTTCTACATGTGTTCAAGTTGTACTCCAATTCACATCAGTCGACTTTAATTTTTTCCAGTTTTACTGAGGTATAGTTGGCAAATAAAAATTGTATACACTTAAGACACACAATATGATGTTTTGATATATGTGTACATTATTAAATGATTACCACAAAAAGGCTAATTAATATATCCATCATCTTGTATAGTTACTTTTGTTTGTGTGTGGTGAGAACACATACCCATGCACACACACATACATACACACATCACATTTTCTTTATCCGTTCATCTGTCCATGGATACTTAAGTTTCCATACCTTGGCTATTTTGAGTAATGCTGCAGTGAACATGGGAGTCCAGATATCTCTTAGAGATGCTGATTTCATTTCCTTTGGATATAAACCCAGAAGTGAGATTGTTTGATCATACATAGAGTTGTGTTTCTTGTTAACGGCTGTATCAATTTACCTTCCTACCAACAGTGTGAAACTGTTTCCTTTACTCCATTTCCCCACCAACACTTGTTATCTTTTATCTTTTTGATCATCACCATTCTAACAGGTATGAGATATCTCACTGTGGTGTAGAGTTGCATTTTCCTGATGATGAGTGATGTTTACTTTTTTTTTTTCTTTTTTTTTTTTTTTTTGAGACAGAGTCTTGCTCTGTCACCAGGCTGGAGTATAGTGATGCGATCTCAGCTCACTGCAACTTCTATCTCCCGGGTTCAAGCAATTCTCCTGCCTCAGTTTCCCGAGTAGCTGAAACTACAGGTGAGCACCACCATGACCAGCTAATTTTTGTATTTTTAGTAGAGACAGGGTTTCACCATGTTGGCCAGGATGGTCTCGAATCTTGACCTCATGATCCACCCACCTTGGCCTCCCAAAGTGCTGGGATTGCAGGCATGAGCCACCGTGCCTGGCCTGAGCATTTTTTTATATATCTGTAGGCCATTTGCATGTCTTCTTTTGAAAAGTGTCTGTTCAGCTTCTTTACCCATTTTTAAAATAGAGTATTTGTTTTCTTGCCACTGTGTTGAGTTTTTAAAATATTTTGGATATTGAGGCCTGGCATGGTGGCTCATGCCTGTATTCCCAGAACTTTGGGAGTCCAAGACAGGAGAAATGCTTGAGGCCAGGAGTTTGAAAACAGCCTGGGCAACACAGGGAGGCCCAATCTCCACAAAAAATAAAAATAAAAATAAATTAGCCAGGCGTAGTAGCATGCACCTGTAGCCCCAGCTACTCAGAAGGCTGAGATGGGAGTATCATTTGAACCCAGGAGCATAAGGTTGCAGTGAGCTATTATGGCACCACTGCACTTCAGCCTGGGTGACAGACCAAGACCATGTCTCTAAATACATGCATACATACAAACATACTTTGGACATTGACCCCTTATCAGACGTATAGTTTACAAATAGCTTTTCTCCTTGTCTCTTCACTCTGTTGATTATTTCTTTTGCTGTGCTGAAAATTTTCAGTTTGATTTAATCCCACTTATCTACTTTTGCTTTCTCTTGTTTTTGGGGTCATATGCAAAAACTCATTGTCCAAAGCAATGTCAAAAACTTTCTTCCTGCATTTTATTCTGGAGGTTTTTAAGTTTCAGGTCTTATACTTAAGTCTGTAATCTATTGTGAGTTGATTTTTGTATATAGTGTTGCACAAGGGTCTAATTTCATTCT